CATTGGGATGATGGGGACTCTCTGTGCTCCAGCTCGAGATGAAGAAATTAAGAAACTGAAAGATATTCATGAAATAGTTCCTCTGTTCAGGTACTGAAATGGTATTTTTTAGTCATGTTGAGAGTCCCTTAACCTGCAAATCTTTGTAGAAGGAAAGAGTGATAGGGAAAGGGATATAGTTGTGGGTATGAAGGGGAGAGATGCTCCAGGGGTCTTTAACAAGGACTGCCTTTTGTTCTGGTTATTTGTCTAGCTCCTGCATGTCACTGAAGGACATTTTCTTAAATGCCAAATGTACATAAGCCTTAAGATAAGCCTTCAGATGGTCAGTTTGTATCAGAATTTAATATTGACAGCAGAAGGGGAAAAACAGCGAGCAAGAGCACAAGAAAAAGGTGTTACTGTTCTCCAACCAGTTCATCCTTTCCCCCTCAGTGTGAGCTCTCTTCACCTACCATCCCACCCCCTCTATAGTCTAAACCGAGTGTACATAGCACATCTGGGGGCATGGAGGCTTCTGCTTTGTCAGCTGAACACCTCAAGTTCTCAATAGTTAGAAGAAATTTCGTTAACCTTGTTGGTTTCTAATTTGATAAGCTGCCCAGAGTTCAGGATTAACTTGGCAGAAGTATTGGCAGGAAGAATTAGGTTGCTTTGAAATGAAGGTGCTTTTCTTTGGGTTGTTTGTTTGTTTTGTTTTTCCTTTTCTTTTTTTCTCCTTGGGTCTGATGATTCCCTTCCCACTGAGGTTAGCTTTGTAGGCTGCCAACAGAGATAGTATGCAAGCTGGGAAACCCGGATGTCTTTTTATGTATTCAACATACAATATTGCCCATCCTGGGAAATATAATCTACAGAGCTAGTAAAGTTAATTCCATAGAGGCTTTTTTACAGGAGAGCAAGATTTATTTCCTACTTGGAAGAGGCACATGCATGCATGTACATGCTTGCTCAAGCTTTGTCTCTGTCTCATGCTCTTAAATTGTTAAGCACCCTTTTAAAGTTTCCCATGCATGTTTTTGCTCTTTCCTTAGACAATCTGTAATAAATTTTGTAAATAGTACCTCTTCAACATCTGCAGCCTTGAATAACTTTTTCTGTTTGTTTGTTTAGAGCTATTTTCTCTGTGTTAGACCTAATGAAAATGGATATGGCAAACTTCGCTGTCAGTAGTATTAGGCCAAAATTAATGCAGCAGTCTGCTGAATATGAAAGAAAGAAGTTTCAGGAGTTTCTTGAGAAACATCCAAGTATGACTTTGTTCCTTTCTTTCTTCCCCTCTGACCTCCCAGTAAACTGCGTGTCTCTGCCTGTAGATCATGAACAGAAATCAGATTCTTTTATAAGTTCTAGAATTCGTATGGTAAATGGCAACTTGTGCCCCAGTACTCTGGTTTGAAAAAATCTGCTGGCACAACAGTTCTGCACTTAGTACTGGAGTTTAGTTTCATTTCAGTACAGTGTAGGGCATAATTACCTAGCATCATCTCACCTCCAATTTCCTGTAGCTGTGTGGTTTTAATTTTGGTTTAGATGTTCTGCTTAATGCAAAAAATGAAATGCATGTCAATAACTGATATCATGGGTGTTAGTAATAGCAACTAATGGGATTATTTGGAAATTATTGGTGGAAAAACCTAACTTTGAAAGGGAATTCTCTTAACAAGATTTTTTTTTCCCTCTGCTCTTCCAGATTCTTTAGACCTTGTCACAAGGTGGTTGCAAGAAGCAGCAGATGATCTTGCAAAGCTGAGATGTAAAATGTTGCCTCCCCACTGTAGTGGCGATGGTGCCACCGGTGGAGCTTCCTCCTTGTGCTCCACTGCTGTCCAGAATCAGGCCTATCTGAAGCTCCTTAAGTGGGATCATGTAAACAGGCCTTTTCCAGAAGTAGGTATTTAACAGAAAAAACTTATTTTATTTTGTATTTCTGGGATATTACAGAAGCCGTTTGGATTTGTAGTCTTGAAACAAGTGCAATACTAAAACGTTTATCTCTTGATGGAGAGCTCTTGTAACTCTTAGGTGTTCTTCAGTACCGAATCTTACTTAGTTGGAAAAGAGGAGTTAATTCTTTTCATTTTGTTCCTGACACTCGCCTGCTGAGCACGTGTTGCTCTTGTCCATGTCTTTGTCTTATTTTGGCTGCTGTGAATGGGGAGGCAGCCCAGCGTCCCTTCGCAGCCCAGCACACTGACTTTATCCTGTGCTGCTTTCCTCATTCTTTGCAGACAGTGCTAATGGACCAGACCCGCTTTCAGGAAATACAGCTGGAGCTGGAGCAACTCCTCTTGATCGGGACAGTCCTTCTGGTCACGTTCAGCGCAGCAGGCTCGGCACTCGTTGATGTGCCTGGGTTTGCTGAAAAAATCAAAACCATTGTCAAGGTGCTGCTGTCAGGGATGCATCTTCCGTGAGTATTGAACGGTCCTGGTCACACAGCGGCGGGTGGAGTTCGGTTTTCCCCCCAGTAAATGATCAGTTTAAGCCTCTCTCTGCCTGTGGACCACAGAATATGTAGAGGAAGTGATGAGGGTGTTTTGTGAGCCCAGGCTGACAATTTTTATTCAGCTTACTCAGACAGAACTGTCTTTTCTTGTTATTTTTGGACATGCACATGCTCCTTTTCTCAGAGTGTGTTTTTCAAGATGCCTGGTTGGGGCAGGAGAGTGGCAGCAGCTCAGTTTGGGGCAGGCTCCCTTGCGGATCTCCGTGTGGTCGGGTGAGCTGCTCGCAGATTTAGAGGGACTGCTGTGCACGTTGTGGCCTGGGAACTGTTTTATGCATTAGTCAGAGCTGTCTGTATAGAGAGAAAAGTCAGCTCTTACTTGTATGGATTGCTCAGGCTGGAAATCTTTAATACTTATATGTATCAAAAAAACAGGAGCATAGCATTATTCTTTATAGTTCTGACTTAATCTGGATTACACTTCTTCCATTACACATTTGATAAATAAAGCACCTAGAAGTGGAGAGTTAAAAGGTGGGAAAAAAGGGAATAACTAAACTAACTATCTAATGCTCTACCCCTCCTTCTCTAGCTCCTTTAACCTGAAGGAATCTTTGGCTACCATCGGTGAAAAGGTGTGTGCTGAAGTTAACAGCTGCCTTTCCCAGCATGGCTTTACCCCCTTCTCAGCTGAGAGAGAGACGGTGCTTAAAGGACAAATCCAGGCGGTGGCCAGCCCAGATAACACCATCTGCAGGCTAATAGGTATGCTTGGACAAAAACACCCTCTTCTCACGCCACCACTCCTCTGTCTTTGTAAAACTGTTGGTGGCGTGTTATGCATGCTTTCTCATTTAATCTGTTCCAGATACTTGTTTACTATGACCAGGCTGTCGGTATTTTACATGAGATTACATGATTTCTAATTGACTATTCCTTTTGAAAACAAACCGAAACCCTTGGTCCAATTTTTCCAGATTCTCGAATTCAAAAGTTTCTGGAGAATTATCTTGCATCTAGTCACCAGAAATCATTACCTGCTATTCCTGGAGGATTAGGCCCTATTCAAAGAGAGCTGGAAGAGATTGCTGTCAAGTATGTTCGTCTTGTCAACTACAACAAAATGGTCTTCAGCCCTTACTATGATGCAGTCCTGGGCAAAATACTGACTAAGGAAGAATCTCAACTTGTAGGGAAGTCAGAAGAATCGTAAAACCAGTTTGTATGCTACCAATACGGTATTGTCAGCTATTTTTAAAAAAAATTGCACCAATATTTGTCTAGGAAAACAGCTTTCTGTGTAAATACTGGTTCCTTTTAATTCACTAGTGATGATTGATATGGAAAATACTTGAGATGCAAAAGGGATTCTGAAGTAAATGATGAGAGATGCATTTTTAATGTAAGTATGCAACCTGGGGTGGGGGGGTGTCTTGGTAGTTTTCTGGCTGCAATTTTTAGATTTTTGAGATGGTGCTAGGTGGGACAAGTTTAAGAACCAAACTTTGTATTTAAGTGGCTCTTTTGGGGCATTTTACTCTAATTTACCGTGAATTTAGTTTAATTAATCCAGAGGAGATTAGCAAAGGTCCTTCCCAGAAGGGATGATTTGGCTTTAAAAAAAAAAAAAATCTTACTTTAAAGACTTAAGAAGAAAGTTAAAATTCTAGACAAGAGGAACTTTAACAGGCAAAAAAACAAAGCCAAACAGCACTTTATTGTAACATTATGGTTAGTACGGTAGGCTACTAGGTTTTTCTGCATTTTACTGCATTTTAATGGCATTTTTTTGCTGTTTACCTGCAGATGTTACAAACACATAATATATTTTTGTAGCAAATTTTCTGGTTATTGGGTAACTGTCCTCTGCTATGTACAGTACTTACAAAGGTGGCAATCTTATAGATTGCAGCTGTATTTATCTCTTGTAAAGACTTCAGAAGGGCAGAGCTAAAATGTTTTGATAAAAGTGGCATTTCTTACCTTTTTTTTGCTAGTTACTCCTTTTTATGCGAAATACTAATTTTAAAGGAAACCTTTGTCATTTTCAGAAGGTGGATTTAAAGTGTGTGAAACTTTAGGCTGAAAATTTTACTTGTTTTTTTTACAACTGGAGATGGTTGCATATTCAATCATGTCTTCAAAAATATCCAGGAAGTGCAGAGCACTGTCGGAAGTATAAGCGATTTTAATGTACGTAGAGGCAAATGATTTAATGTCAGTTTGAATACACAGGGAATATTTTCAGTAGAAGATTTTTTTTCACTTTGTAGAGGTGTTCCTGAAATGTAAAATATTTGTAGGTCTTGAATTTAATTAGCTACGTCATATAGATGAGTGTTGACGGAAGAGCTCAATGATCTTACAGCCTTATTGCAATTTCAAACTCAGCTAGGAGGTAAGTACATTTGAAATTTTCCTCTAGTTGAGCACCATGCTGTATTACAGTAATCAAAATTTGATGATTTTATGAAAGCAACGTTCATAGCTATAAACAGTAAGTGTCCCATGTACGAGACTATCCAAAATAGAATGTGTTGTGGTCTATTAAAAAAAAACCAAACAACAAGTTATGTAAAATAAGTGAAGGGCCCTTTTATTGCTAACATCCAGGTTCATTTTATTAATCAACTAGTCAGCTGAAATAATAGAACTTCTAGAAGGAGGCCCTTGATTATGAATCAGTGTTAGCGCTTCCCTTTCCACTTTTCCTTTAAACGTCAGCATGGATCAAGATGCCCTGAGTTTGGAGGAAGGTGGAATGAGTAAAAGCTTTCATTCTGTATTAGCCTATGCAACTATAAAACAGATCTTCTCTCATTCATTTTTTTGCTTCCCCAAGCGAGAGAAAAAAAAACAAAGAACCACCACAAAACCCTGTTAAGGGATCACCAGCTCAGACAAGTGATTTTGCTCCTGGCTAAACGTACTCTGATAGTAAACTGGATGCCTGTTTCTGAATCTTTCTTTGATAACTCAAAACCGACTAGGTTGGTTAGTCAGATAACAAAGTTCCGAGTAGGTTTTTGCTGTGGTCTGTTTCATTGCTTGAATCAGCAAAGGGTACAACGGAGGTCTTCAAAATTGCTGCATCTGCTTACTGGACTTTGTTCTTAGTGCAGGATCCACCTCAAAACACAGCCTCTAGCTCTGCAGCTCCAAAAAATTAAGGCCGTAGTCTGCGTAACAAAAGCGCTACCAGAAACATTATTGCTAGAGATAGACATAAAAAAATAAATAACCGAGACAAATCTGTTTTCGTTTTTGTTAAATGAGAGTTGCAGAAAATAAATTGCTGCTGTTATTTTATATCTTAGTATTGCCTAGAAGCTGCCTTTAAAGGCCCCTGTGAATTTTGTGTACTACAAAAATTTAGAAGCTGTAGGGGATGATCTCAAGGATGTGGGGAGGAAGATCCTCAAGGTCAATGACACGTTAAAATCTACAGTATGCATAGAAACCGCTTTGGAAGTTCATATAGTGTTTTTGTTAGCTTGTTTGAAAATAACAGGTTAAACTGTGTAGCTGATATATTGACATTTAGCTTTGTACTTTAAGTGGAAGACCAGTGCAGTGATCCAGGAACAGACTGTGTTAGCTGGTGCTCCTGGACAATCCACAGTAGAAATATGTACCGAGTTTGTCTTACGATGCTGTCTTCTTTAAACAGTCATGGAATTAAAAGCAAAAGTATACCGTATCCTCTAGAAAAAATGGAAAAAAAAAAGCTAATTCTAATATGTATGCTCTGATCAATTTCCTGCGATGGTCTCTATTAACATTGCTTTTGAAGTGGCTGAGTAATATTTAAGAAGTAACTTGTCGTGTTTGAATAAAACCAGAATGAGGCATGATGTTATGGATATCCTTTTATTTTAAAGGAATGTTTTCTTCCATTTTCAACTACAAAACAGATTTCATACATTCTGCCATAAATAAAAACGAACAGTAAGGCAGGACACTACATGAACAAACTGAGAACAACTGTTTTCCAGAAAATGTGAATTAAAAATGCTTCACAAGTATAAGCCATCCAGTTTTTAAAATAAAACTGTTGAAAACCCACAAGATTTCAAGTGGTAGATGTGAACACCCTTGAAGAAAAAAATGCAAGTTTTGCCATTTTGCACTTTTGGTTTTGCAAACCTAGTTTTGTTCAGAGCACGTTCTAAGGTTGTTCTGGCTGTTTTCGGATCAAGAACCATATGGGAGAAGAGGCACCACAGTAACAAAACCATTTTCAAGATTTTTTTGTTTGTTTGTTTGCAGCTGTCCCTTTTAAATGTTTGACTTTTAAGAGACTGACGGACTCAATGAAAGTCTTTGTCTGTCACAGCAGAACTCCAGACTTGTTTCACCGGATTCGCTTTTGCTGTCGTGCTCTGTAAATGTCGTGTACAGGGGGAACCACAGACCCTTTCTCCTCGTCGTCGTCAGAATCCTCGTGTGGTCTCTTAACAGCCTTATTGAGCATTGCGTTGTTTTCCACAGGTCCGTTGCCTTCCACAGCTATTTCAGGTAGGCCTCCGGTGATTATCCGTACGGCTTCATCGACAGCTTTAGACAGAGAAAAAAGTTCATTTCATTTGTGAAACGGAATTCTGTGATCAGAAATAAGTATGCAAACAGGGACACCACGATAGGGACATTCTGGAGATCTCTGGAATGAGACCTTTCCCTACCCTCTTCTCCTACAAAGGTTAAGAATTAAGGCTCGACTGTCTAAAACTGAGCTACGGCAAACACTAATTATAAAGTAAAAGCTGCTGCTTCAGCTTGAGACCTCCCTTGAGACAAGTATTGAGGTCATTTGCAAGCTTAATAAAACAGGAAAGCCTACTGGGGAAACTAGAATTAGTTCATGATTCATCAGAAAGTATGCATAGCAAGTTAGTCTCTGCTTATCAACAGAGAAAGCTTCAAAAATGCCATGTATAATTTAAATAGATGTTTTCACCCAAAGAAATTAAATCCTAGGTTGCTTTCTCTCTGATCGTTTGCTCCTTAAATGAACAGAGGGGGTGAAAAGGAGCATATTATCATCTGCCATACTTTACGTGAAGCCTGGAGTATGGATCTGCCCTAGTTTTATAGTTCAGAACTCTCCCTCCTTTGCAGGAGCTCAGAAAACACTGCTCTTGAATTCTTCACAAGCACCGCCACGTGTCATTTAGTGTTACAGTGCTGCTAGAAAGAATGCCTTGCTGCTTTTAAAGCCTATTCTGAAAATCTTTAATTTCTTTCTTTTAATGGTTATCACCAAAATATCATTCAAGTAGCAGCTGATGATTTTCAGCTTCTTTTTGACTTGTGGATCTCCCCCCAGTTAAACGTACAAACATCTCTATAGAGACTCCAACCTACAAATGTAGCCAATTCAGCACTGTACTCTTAAATATTAATTATTCATCTGTAAGCAAGGTCTGGCTTTTAGACAGCAATATCCATATGTAAAACAAAACCACAGGCAGCGCCATCACAGACTCCAGAGCAAACAAGTAACTTACTGTCTGGCAGTTTGCATCTTCTGAATATCTCCATGAGCTCATCCACTTGAACAAAGGGACCCTGATTTGTTACCAAAAAAAAAAGTTTAAAGGTTATTTTCAATAGAATGATACACTCCAAGGTTCTGTCAAAACAGAATCTCTTCTGCAACTTTTTTAAAGAATTCAGAATTCATTAAAACAAACCTGAAAACAAACAGGAGGTGGCAGGAGCTTCATGAGAACTACAGCTGCTGGTGGAACAGGAAATACACCACCTGGGACAGGATGTAAACCTGGAGCTGCAGGAAGAAAAACTCTGTGAAGCCAGAGCAGGACAGCTAGACTTGAATTGCTTTTGCAGCATCGTTATTTAACACAAATAATTACTACCCTCTCACTTTTGCCTCTACTAATTACATATTGTTTAGTCGGTGATCTGAAGTCCATGAGCAGTGTGTATACCAATTACCATTGACCAGACCCCAAACTACTTGTACTTATTTCCATGTGACCTTAATATTAGGTAAAATATATATATGCCTTTAGCAATTCAATTAAATAACAGCTTAAAATGTAAGTACATGTTTAGATGACTGAAGGCAAGGAACATCTCAGTGATTAGGTTTGCTAAACACACAAATTCATAACTTGCCACCAGGCGAAACACAACCACTTCCAACTGAACATCTGACTTACGTGCCAAGTGTCTTGGCTGAAATGGAATCATTTGCTGAGTGTCCGGTTTTGGGTATTCGGGTTTTCTGTCTACTTCATCCTTGAGAACAGGCACGATGGAAGGAGCGACCACCGGGTCGGGAATTATGGCTGCCAGCTTGGCACGGGAGACGTCCTGCGAAAGGCAGGGGGAGAGCTCTGAGCGTTGCTTAAATGACAGAACAAAACAACTCCAGACCAGCCGCTTACACCCCCTTCGTCATCATTACAATTTCAGATGTCCTCTCACAAGACCATCTGGGCAAAACTCGCATGTTTTCATCAACCATTTAGTCCTATGGTGACCCAGCTGGGAGTGCAAACACTTGTTTTTGTTACCGGATGGGACCGTATCTGTCATTTTGGAGAGGTTACTTTTCTTAGGTTAAAAAGATTTAGGCGAACAGGTGCAGAGCACTAGGCCTTCACAACTATCATTTCTCCCTCATTTCATTCCCTACATTGCTTTAGCTGGAAAAGAAACAAAGCATAAGGCAGTCAGCGGGCCTGCAAAGCGTCTGTTCAAATAGCATTTTATATTCTGGCATGTTGCAAGCAACAGAAATCAGCCCCGGGTAGGTCCACACCACCTCGCATGCGTTTGTCAAGATGTGCTCTCCTGAAAGCACACCCCTAACTTCAAAATAACTTTGTCCCAATTGTGTTATTCAGGCTCAAAGTGACTCCCATTTCCATTGATCAGATTACTTTACAACTGTGTGAAGACCAACAATTCAGCTGCTTTGCTAACTTTGATGACGTCTGTATTTTTCAAAAATTCCTTTTCTGTGGAAGAAATAAATGGAAGCTGAGGAACTATTTTTGAGACATGAAGGCTCTCTTCCTGTTCATGTGAATGGAAAAGAGCAGTTCCTCCAGCAGAGCTGTTTCTGCTTCTTTGGCAGCCTATTTTATATCATGCTTTTAAAAAAAAAAAAAAAAAAAAAAAAAAAAAAATCAACATTATATTCTAATGTTTTTCCTAACTGTTACGGCCTTCCACATGACTAGAAGAGTAGTTATATATCTGGTCAGAAACAAGATGGGAGACCACTAGATACAGGTGTTTGGCCTAGACTTTAAATTCTGAGTAGCAGCAGCAGCAAAGGACTTGAGCCATAACTGAGTGAAGAAAAGCAGGCAGCCACCGAGCTCGATGGATAATTCTCCTCAGGTATCTGCAGCAGTCACTGGGGCGGCACCGTGCCTGTTACGGTTCTCACTGCAGAGAGCTGGGTTTTGCCAGCTGCCGCGGGAGGGCAGCCAGCCATGGTTCATACAGATGACCTCACTCTGCAAACTTCCGAAAGGATTTCAGGTGTTGGAGGAGCTCGGGTTTAAGTCTGAAGCAGAGGCCTGCAGCTGAGTGGTGGGGGCATTACCACGCTGCCCTATCCACTGTAAATGGGGCCACAGGAAGTTCCACCTGTTACACCCATGGCCCTTGCTCCCTTCTGCCCTTGGCCCACAGTGCCTGGCACTTTGTTAGACAGCAAGGAGGAGGCATACCAGGACCTGTTTTACCTGCTTTTCTATCGAGGGGAAAAAAAAGTGTAAGGCAAGACCTAAATAAGGAATTGCTTCAGCTTGCTAGGACTGAAAAGAGTAACAATACAAGCGTTCTTACCCACCTACCTTGTAACCAAGGGCCTTCAGTTCGCTCGCAGAGCAAGGGTACAAATCCATGAACTTGTACCTGTCTACCAGCAGAGCTGTTTCTTTACCCTCATATTCTTCCTTGAATGCTGTAAACCGCCGTTTTTCGACTTTCAGAATACTAGCCAGATCACCGATGTTGCTTTCAAAAGCTAAAAACCGAGCCCAGATTTCCCTATAAAAGAACAGATAAATAGACAGCTGCTGAAGGAGAAAGAATTACTGAACACAACCTAATTAAAAAACACACTAGAGGAGAGATTCAAAGGAGGTGATCTGGGAACACGTGACCATTTCCATTATTTACGTCAGATGCATCTATAACATGCATTACCTTCCTCATGCCTGATGTATTTCTGTAAAAGCTTTCAGTCTAGCGGGCTGCAAAGGACTTTGTTATGGAAAGGAAAGGATCGCTGGTGTAAATGACTTCAGCATTTGAGGTAAGCTTTTATCATCAATGTAAGGTGCACAAATAGACTTTACTCATCCCGCTACACAGAATTTCACTCTGATCCTGATATCTGAAGGACTTTTTAACACAGGATATTATTTAGTTCACGTCCACAGACCAGCAGACTCTAGCAGGCAAGAGCAATACCCTATGACTGCAGCACTTCAGAATGTTACACAGCCCACAATATAGAGAGTTACTGCTCATTTCTCGGTGGAATATATAACGTAAGCAGCATCTGACCATATTTCTGGACTCAACTTTAATTTTTGCTTTGGAGTTCACCTTTTAACAAAATTCAGCTTTTAAATTCTTGGGTTTTCTCACTTTTAAAATGGACATTAAAATATTCCTCATGAAAGATCAGAACAACGGTGCAGAATGAATGTGCACACCAGCACGTTGTTTAATTTCTTGGTTCTGATGTCTGTGTCTACCAGAATAATAATAATGGTGAACACTTGGACTGCAGAGGGTTTGGTAAGCATTTTTTCAGAGAAATAAAGAGTAATAATGAAAATGTGACTGAGTGGTTAATCCAAATTTTTCCTGGTTCTTTCCCTATTTTATTTTCAGTTGGTTGGGAGTTGTCCAGCATTCTCCTCCCTTTCTCTAACATAATGCTCCTGATAGATGTGCTCAGCTCCCTCTCCCCACCTAACGCATCTATCTGGTGAGAGATACACGGCATTAGCTACACCAGCTGCTCAGTCCGTGGAATCCTCACTGCACAGGAGGATTCTCTGCTCTGTCCCCAACAATCCTGCGTCAGTGAGGTTCTAAAGTCAATAAATTAATGAACGTCACTGCAAGTGGGATAGAGACTTTCACAAATCTGTCACAGTTGCTATTTTAGACAGCATGAAGTAGGGAAGGAACATCTGTACCTAGTTTTGTCCTGCTGTTCGTTTTTCTAATTTCTCTGGGATGTTTGTAGTTGAAAGGGGTTAATGTGTCTTTTTTAGTGTAGTGAAACTGCTTTTGCAGACGTACCCAGATTTCTCAGGTGGAAGGCTCCCTGAAGTTAAAACACGTTCAAACAAAACTCTTGTATTATTGTCCTCTTTAAAAATAGAAAGAAAAAAGAAAAAAAAAATCACACTGAGTAAAATATATTAAAAACAATTTAAAATCATGTCCATTCAAAGAAATGTGTACATTGAATTAAATACAAGGCTGACATTCCAAAACCTGTAGTTGAATTTCAATAAGTAGAAAAACCGAATGCCTACCTAAAACGTTACCAATGTTAAATTCTACTGTGAATTTGTTATTTGAAAGTCTAATTTCGTTGATGGCAACAAACCAATCCGAATACAGGTTCTTTCACAACAGCACAGCTATCGCTTGGCATCTCTTCAGGATCGCTGCTTTCTTCTGTTTTCTTTAATTATCACAATGGATTATGTTGGTAATTTCAAATTTGGCCTTTCAATTCATGACTTCCCTTTTAAATTAAGGCAATATTAATACACTTGTATATTCATCAGAAGTCCTCCCCAAATTATTAGACCTGGTTCCCAGTGAGCACTCAGGCTTTGTACATTGCCAGCTGGGGGAATGGAGTGGTTGGTGGGTTTGTTCTTAAAGCTGCTAGTTTCTGCCCTGCCTCTCTCGCTGTGTATTTTACTGTATCTTACATTTACAGACGTTCAGAGATCAATTTTCTTGGGTTTAGTAAAGTCTGCTGGGTTGCTAAGACAGAGCAATACCCTGGCAAGTTTTAAGATTTTTTTTCCCGATGGCAATCTACAGAAAGGCATTACAAATATTCACGTGGACCTAAAATAATTTCTTGCAAAATTAAATATACTTTAACTTGAAAAAAAATCTGTTTACAGCTCACAGGAGAAAAAAAGCTCTAAATCTTACTCAAACTTTCAGAGCCTGGGGAAAAAAAATAAGAAAGGTATTGTAGCCTGACAGGAGAAATTCATGTGCCTGGTGGCTACAGAAGGCCATGGGAGGTTCAGCAGATCCAGCAGCACAGCGGCGTGGAGGCTGCCTCACAAAACCGAGCTAGGACTTCCTAATAAAAACCAGATTGTGTTACACTTCTGTGTCGTTACGCTACAAATACTAAGCTAGGGTACTGAAGGTGTGAGGAAATACCTGAAGAAATCTAATGAGTAGCTGGCAGGCAGGACTGCGCAGAGGAAGAGCTGGGCTGAACCTCTCCTCTACCTCCCGTGAAACACGGACCCGGGCGGTTCCACACAAGGTCCCAGCCCCTGCTCCCCACAGCAGCTCAGGTGTCTTTTCAGACATTCTCTCCCGCTCCTGGGAGACCTGCCCCGGCCACCCCACCAGCACCTCCTGCCGGGGGCTCCCCGGGGCCCTGTCCCCCAGGGCTGGCACCTGCCCGGCCCTGCCCTTTGCATCACAAACTGGCAAATATTCACAATCCTGCTTTTATATCTCACTCATCTCATCCACCCGGGGAGAATGAGTTTAGAATAATTCTAGAAGGGAACAACTGATCTATCACTCCTCTCATGCTGATTTCACCTCCTATAGATTTAGATCTCCCAGTGTACTTCCCACTTTTCACAACAGATGCTGTAAAGCTGCTGCAATGCAAGCGAGTTACAATTTTGAAAGTTCGCTCTCCTCCATTCAGAAGGATCAAGATCTACTGTTACTGTACTTCTGGAACTTCAGTAAGGACAGACCAGCAAGTTTTGTTTTCAAATTAATTGCTGAGTTTCATGGAGAGGTTTCATTGCTCTTCAAGAAGAATTAGAACTAAAATACAAGGAACTTGACCTGAACCTAAACTCACAGAGAAGTGAGTTTAGATTCAGGTTAATGAGTGCTTCATTAGACCTCTCAAAGCTTAGAGCTTACCATTAAGGTGAGAAAGGTAGTCGATATATGCCAGTACATATTCTGGAATGTCCCCATATTTTTTCAGCCCTAGCTCAAAAATCTTAAAGGCCACAGATTTATCCTGCAAACATTAAAAAAAAAAAAAAAAGTTATTACCTTCAGTGAGCTACACACCCTCCTGACACTACTTGAATATCAAATTGAGCATCTGCAATTACCTTACTACAATAATACTCCATTAAAGCTGCTGTAACATAGACGTGATGGCGGGTCCGGGCATCCTCTCTCGCTTTCTTAAATATCATTCTTCCAGATTTTATGCCTTCTGCTCGCCTTGCAAATTTCATATATTGGATATAAACCTAAGGTGCATATTAATATTTATATTGTACCAGTGCTAACAAAAAAATACTAGAATGTAGTAAAGTCTTTTTCGCTATATTTGAAATAATCTCTACTGACAAAATACAGCTAATAATGCATAACAGAAACAACACTGTGCTGTGCCTCTGTGTTTTGCTATAAATACCAAGTCATAGCTTTTAATATACTTTTTTAAAAACAATGGAATATACCTAAGAGTGATCCCCTGAAACGATGATCCCCTGTACATTATACAATCCAAGATACAAATCATCCTGTCTGCAAATATTTCTGCTGATCAAGGAAATAACGAATGCGCTATTTAGTTCGGTGGCAAATTCGTGTTTGGGATTTAACTTTCCTCCACTCTCAATTAGATCACAAAGAACAGCATTCCTCCAATAGGAGTGACTGGTACATGGTTCCTCAGAAAATACGTATTTAGGAAGCATTATGATCTGTGTTTAATGTGTAGAACACGTCAGTAAATGGATACCTTTCCTCTGACACTGACCTGTTGTTTAATTTTAGACCTAAGCCCTTCTTTTTCCTTCTCATGCTTTGTTGGGTCTATTTATAAACCAAAACTTTTTGAGGGCAGGTTCCTGTCTCACACCATTTGTTCAGCACTAGCACAGCTGGCGCTAGAGACGACCTTGTTTACTATATAACTTAAGCAGATGTGCAGCAATACTCTTTGATAATGATATGGTGAATTACAAATTTATTTGCAAACTACACGTACGCAGCATGGTGCATTTAGATGTAGGGAGAGCAATAAGCAAAGGCAATGTGCTTTTAACCAGTTAAGGGGAGGCAAAGTGAAATTTTAGTGGAACCAACAAAACATACACAAATTCTTACGAGCTGCATCATGAAATTTTTTATATCTTATATCTTCATTGCTTGTTTTAAGAGATTCTCCAAAAGAGACAGGAGAAAAGTGCACGACTTAGTGTATCTAAGTGGATTAAAGGCTGCAATTACCAACCTTGCTGAAATTTTAATCTAATTGTCATCTCAGTACTTCGCCTGCTCCATCATCCTTGTGACCCAATGAACTCCTCTAAGTACTTTGCCATTCTTTGCATGCACTCAGGTGACTGTCCATGCAAATGGGGAAAAACTCAATACTAAGGATCATCTTACCAGAGTGGGATCAATGTCTTCAATGGCCAGGAGTCGGTTATATATGCTGTGTACTTTCTCATACTTCATTCGACTCTAAGTAAATAAGAAGGAAATGCAGACTGCTTAGTAATATGGTTACAAATGACCCACGAGAATGCAAAAATCAATCTGAAGAAAAAGCTAAAATTTTTCCGTTTCCTCTTTTCCCCTAGTTGAACACTAGGTATGCCAGTCCCTTTTACTCAGATGCATTTTCTGTCTTGTGCAGTCATTTCTTTACTTCCCACATTAATTTCTCACTAGTGCTTACTTCCATGCTTTTCAAGAGTCTCTGAAGTCTTTTTCTAATTCGGTAATACTGCAGTGCAAGCGCCACTGTAGGTGTTTGGGATAAGAAGACTGTTTCCTTTACCTCTGTCTAAAAGGAATGTGCAGACAGCAAGGAAAACCACCTTCTTGACTCTCTAACCTACACACTTCATTCTGTTCACCACCAGCTGCAGCCCTCCAAGTTGTATTGTACATCCTTAAAAACCTCTAGATATCTGGTATGCTTAGGATGCAAGAGGCTGCACTGAAAGCCAAGGCAGGATTTTTCTTTTAAGGGCAAAGGGGGTTGGTTTGTTTGTTTGTTTTTTTCTGTTATCCTCAGGATCTTCCTGCAAAGACTCTTCCATGTTGTGGTAAGTGGGCAAAGTACATCCCGCAGAGGACTCCATAGTCTTCATCTGATCACTGGCCTTATTCCTGATGGTTCATGTGCAAAACCAACCCTTGCTGGGGCATTATTCGTTATGGAGTGCAGTAAAGTGGTAGCTTGGGTGAAGAGATTTCTCAAGAAAGCTGCAGTACAGGGTGCCTCCCATCTTCTGTCACAGCCACGCAAACACAAACATTAAACCCCCAAGAAATCAGATAGCAAAGGTGTTCTTTGTTCCCATTTTAAAAGTGAAGAAGCTGATGCTCCAGTAAATGTCAATCTATCCAATCTATCAGCCTTTCAATTTCACAGTAATTTGAAAAATATAGCCAATATTTATGTGGAAAGACAAAACATTTGTAATTCATACTATAGGACTTTCCTCTCTATTATATTAGCTCAGGAACACTGAATGAGGTTAAGGCTAGAAGAATCAGTAAATCAATTCTATAGAATTTTGTGTATTCAGTATGTTTCAAATAAATGACATTGTTGACAAGAGACGCCTTTGCATTTTAACATCAGTATATCACTATTTTTGCTCACCTCTTCATAATCTGCATATGCAAAATAAAGAAGCATATTCTTCTTTAATAAAGTGCTGATCGCTCTTTCATAAATATTAGCAGCCTCATCACTGAAAAGTTTAGCATTGTTCATGTCCTGTTATAAAATAAGTATGACAATATAATTGTTCAGCATCTATTGACAAGGAAGGCCCATCTAGGGAATATCTTTTGTGTGTGAGAAGTCCCAGTGAACTTCCATGCAGCGCCCCAGTGAAAAGATAATGATTTCCCCAGTCCTCAAGGAATCACAAAACCAGGACAAAACACCACCACCACCACCCCCAACCTAAAACTGGCCAACACTGAAATGGTTTTTTTATAATTCTTACCTCAAATGCAAATATTTTTATTTCTTAAAATAGTCCCGATTTTAAAATTCTGGACATGACACAACTTATGGTGCTAAAATTTTTCATATTCCCCTCCATGGTTCTTAATTATTTGAGGAAAAATTAACAGTACATCATGTTAAAACAATGAAATGAAAGCAAGCTAATGGCAATCTGCTTACCCCTTTCTCAGCTAGCAGTTTACTGGATTGCTCAAGATACTGTGCAGCTTCATACCAGATATCTGGGTGATGTCCCAGAACCAAAAGGCATTGCTCATAGGCAAACATAACTGCGGGGGAAAAAAAGTAAGAAATACTTTGTGTATGTGATTGTAGCAATGGTACCATCTTGCACAATGGAAGAATGAAATACAAAATCCAGCAAATACATCAGACAATATTAACACTAATTGGCTTTGAATACAATGATCACAACTGCCGTTCTTTTATATTGCCAGGAACTTGATGAATCATAACCAGCAGCTAAAACCTGCCTCCTCCAGGGGAAGCCGCAGAACTCATTCAAGAGCTTCAGCCATAAAACCAGGCTGTGATCCACAGCTTCCTGACCCCCAGTGAACATTCAGTGGCACACAACTACAGCACTGCCCCCCAAAATCCATGTATTACTTTCAGCTTGGCATGAGCAAAAACTAAAGAATAGTTTAAAAAAAAAAACACAACACACACCCACACGATTCAAGAAACTCAATCAAATTCCGCTCCAGCACAATCCCTGAACTCTAAATCACATCATTACTTACGCTGGAGGTCATTAATAGAGCTAAGAAATACAATTCTACATGTCCCAGCGCAATAGCTAATTACCTCTTTTTGTTATGAGAGTTTGATCTTCTGTACGCAGAGGATTGCTCTTTTCCCACTGGATGTATTTCTTCCACATGTCTACCTGCTGAGCCTCTTGGGGGGTGTTTTGTGGGGGGACAGAGGGAGCGTTGCGGTCCAGACCTTTCATCACTGTCTCGTATTCCTGAAAGGGAAGCAAGGTTTTGAACAGCACATTTAAAACACATTAAAAACTAATTTTAGGTTATGCTTTCTAAAACAAGTATTTTAACATACCGAACTTATTAGTTTAATGCACACTTTTCTTTGAAAATAAGAACCAAGTTTAATGCTAGTTTGCAGAATTTAATAGAACAAAGAAAAGTCAACAGAAGGTTGTACCTTTGCTACACGCCGTGCGTTCATATAATCTCTACTCCTGTCTTCAATCATCTTCTTAGCTAAGTGAATATTGATGCCCTGGACAAGGGTGAAAAAAAGAATTGGGAATGTGCAATTTCACTTTGGAAATACCAAATCTCATTCCATACAGAGAAGAGCTTGAAAGGGGACGCCAAAGTGAGCAACAAGGATGGTTATCATAAAATACTGATCTCGAAAGGTACTGCATTTCTCCTAATAAATGCATGGGCAAGAACAACGGGCTTTACATAAACCTGCTGGGGGAGAAAGTGGACAGAATGTAGTTGTGATTTACATTTTTCCTTCTAAACTGGGGTCAGTGCCTAGTCAGAGACACAGCTCCCTGCCTTGCTGCTCGTCCTGTTCACCAGGTGAAGGCTGAGACAGCATTTGAGCAATTCACTTTTCCTGGACAAGCAGTAACAGAGATTGACCCCCAAGCTCAAAGCTCTGCCTTCTCCTCTGTTCTTGAAGTAACTGACAGCTTTTAAGAGATTACATTCAACATACACCCTGCCACATGTGTTCCTTTGTCAGCTGAGAGCCACTTGAGGCCTGTCACTGCAGAATAACATCCCTCCGGGCCTGCACACACGTGCAGAGGGCCCTGTCGTGCTGCTGAGCAAGGGCAGCAGGAGAGCTGGGGCACAGCCCACACCTCAGCATCAGCAACACGGGCCTGGTCACGGGGTCCCAGGCACGAACAAAATCTCAAAGAGGCACCCTTACGGCAGGATAACCAACCACCCTTTTGTTCACACCTGTGTCTGCGTGGATTTTGCCTGCAAGGACTCTGAGTAAGGTGGGCAGAGCTTTCAGTCCTATTCCAAACAGGCAACTGAGCTGGGTACGGGCTCACTACAGAAGCAAAGGTCCCGTCTGGACTGGTGCAGGGTGCTGCCTGGGAGCACTGTCTGGGCCAGGTAGTGTACACACCAGCAGTGCCCAGTTTAACCCAGGACCGGGCTGGGGACGCAGCAATCTTCCCCCGGGATGCGTGCCTGGCTTTGTGAGGTGCAGCTGTGTGGCTTTGTGAGCCAAAGATTGTCACTTCTCTGTCCCACTAGGGGTGTTACCACGTTTGACCATTCGTTTAATTAAAGACACTGGTGACTGACAGGTTGACATTGCTACCCTGTGGCTACCAACTGAGCTAAAGGGAAGCTTGAGAGTGTTTAACTGCAGCAAATAGCCAGTGACCTTTCGTTCTGAGACCCACACTTTTGTACTGATCTCGGTGTTGCTGGACTACTGTTGAGGGGAATCAGTTCCCTCTCAAAGAGCCCTTCTGGTGAGGAGCATTTCCTTCTCTGTGCCAGGACATCTGTAAGCAGCAGCCCCTTCCCTCGGGCCAGCCTAGCCAGAGCAGGACGTGCAGAAACCTGTGCCCGAGCAGGGCCCTGGCCCTCGGCTCCCAGCAGCTCTGAACAGCGCAGGGTACTGGTGTGTGTTGCAGGGGTCAGCCAGAGCTGCCTCAACCCAAAGGTACAGAACAAATGTAGGACAGGTTTCAGCTATCATTTTGACAAGTCTCCCTACGTATAATGGAAGTAGTAGGAACCAGCAGTGAGAGCCTTCGTTTGTTACGTGGTGACTGGTGACTGAGAAGAGGAGGTTTACAGGGAAGTTGTAGTGGGGATTTTCTATGCAGAAGGCGTGTTGCTGGGCACCTTCCCTGGTGGTCAGCAGGCTACCTGTGGCATCCCCGGGCACCGGCAGGGCCATCAGCTGTTACAGTACATGCTCGTGGCTGCAGATGCCTGGAGGTACTCCCACTGGCTAAGCACAGTGGCCCTATTAATGTTAAAAAGTTACCAAGCCTACGACTTGCATAATTAGAGCAAGGAAAGAGAAATTGTCCCTTCTTTCTGGCTCAGTGCACAGCTGACCCATAGCACCTGCAGCCCTGGGTGCAAGAGGCAAGCTAAGGGAGAGCACTGGATGAACATCCCTGCTTGAGAGTGCTGAGCACAAGGGCGCCCGCCCTCAGCTCTGCACCCTCACCTCTGCTGACTGGGGTAGGTTAACAAGCTGTTACTAAGTGTGTTTACAAATGCACCATAAAGGTGCAGCTACAAATTAGCCTGCAAGGACAATGAGTTGAGGTCACGCTTGCTGAAGACAGTGTGGTAGCAAACTCACCTGAATTGATGCTGTAATGGCTTCAGGTGAAGGATGGTGAGGAGCGTTTTATATGTACTTGAGACCGTATAACTTACACTGTGAAGGAAGTCCAAACCATCGTAGCTGAATGCCATTTCACCCTGTTCAACTATAACTGAAAGGAGGGGAGTGCCTCCTTGGGGAAGCAAGCCCTCATTGCCAGCTGGTCTGCTCTAGCTTCCATTAAATGTTCTCCATCACTGACGACAGTGATTTCTCATTCACTAGCAATTCCACTGGGCCAGCTGGGAAATGGGACAGTTAGATGTATCCTATAAAAAGTCTTTACAATAAATTTAAAAACTCACTCAGGTAGAGTTTTGCCCCGGGTCTTGGTACATACCACACACAAAATATGTTTATACTGCTGGTCATGTCTTTTATACATAATTATTTAGTGGATACAGTTTAGGCACCATACTTGATTATACTATTATTATTTCTTTTTTAATGTCACAAATTTCATGTTCTTGATTACCTCTTCGTATTTGTTATAATCTCTCCAGAGCTGCTCTATGTTTATCATTGGATTCACGCAACCACGCTGGTAAACCCTACGGACAGCTGTTATCCTCTGGTTTTCTGCATAAGATCCTACTGCTTCTCTAAATAGTGGGGAGAGAGATTAATGTCAGCTATTACAGGTTATAACTGGTATGAACATCAACATCACATTAACTGAGCTTAAAAAAAATTCTTTTGAGATACTTACACGCCTTTCAAAAAATTGATGTAATCCACCCAGATCTATGTGAGAAAAAAATATTACATATAATGAAACCAATGTTTAGTTGTACTTGTTATAAAGTTAGAAATAAAACGTGCTTTGATTAAAAAAAAAAACATACCTGGTATGACATGATTTCCATGCCAATCTTATCCAGAGCAAAATCATATGCCTGAGCCATTTTTTCTCTGAGGAAAAAAACAAACCACAAAGACCATAGAGCAAGTGTTTAGTATTTAAAAAATTCTTTATTTAAGATATTCTTTTGTGCAGCAAATTTTAACCAAACATTGAAGTACGAAAAGGGTCATTCAACAGCTGAGAGTAACAACTGGCCTTCAGATAGCTTTAAATTCTGCATTTAGGTTTTCTGTTTAAGAAAATTATTTAAATCTGCTGATGGCAGTCTAGCATACTAATGGTTCCTGTGCCCCACCTCCCCCTTAATTAAGTAGAAATCCATGTACACTATGTGAAGTTGAGAAAATATTAAACAACTACTCTTTACATTTTCTTAGCTGGCAGATGTACCTCTGGTTCCTTCTTTTTTCCCCCCCTCAGAATTCCCCAAACCTTGTTGTAATTCTCCATGAACACCAAAAGGCTGGGGAAATTAGGAGTAGCCCCCCCCCCCCGGTGGAAACTGCCCAAAGTGATTTCTTATCCCCCCAGATTCGAAGTAATTTTCCCCAAATTTAAAATGTTCACAGAATATTTCATTGGTAAAGTTTCAGTGAAAACAGCTTTTTCACTCTCCTACTTTTCTCTCAGTTTTCTTTTCTGAAACATCTTTCGGTACCTTACCAGTTCTTGACCATATCAACAAGAAAAATAGAAGAAAGTTGAATTAGATAAAAAGATAAGGGGAGGTGCTGATACTTTTTAAATTATTTCAAAACAATCTTGTAAAAATAAGTTGTTGGGTTGTTTTTGGTTTGTTTGTTTTTTTTTTCTGTTAATACATTAGTTATCTCGCCAGTTCTAATACAAAGAAATTATGGTGGACTGGGAAAGACAGAGTTTAAAGATGCTGAAATGTACTGATATTTTTTAAACTTTAAACAGGAAGAAAAAGCATTAAACGCAATCCACAGGGTTGTAAACAAATAAAATGCAGTAACTGAAAAGGGATGAACATCAATACACCCCAAAATTGCGACACTCTGATTTTTAATGCATTTTTACGCATTCTGAAACTTTAACTACTGAATTATTTACTCTTGAACTCCTGCTAGTCAAATGTAGTACCTCAGCTGGAATCAATTTTTGTGGAGACTCTAAACAGGGCACTAAGGGGGAGAACAGCAAAAGGTCCTGACTGAGGAGGAAGCGTGTTTCAGATTGGCTCAAGCATCAACCTTGTCTGCAGGGAACCGGCATGGATATGTCAGCTCCTCCCCAGCTCTTGTCTCACCTTGTTGTATGGATCCAGACCAAGGAAGCAATTTTACCCAGCAAGCTCAATTAAAGAAACTTTAAAGAAAATGTTTCCTAAATGCAGATTATGTATTATCCCCCCCCAATACTCTACCAGAAGATCCCCCGGCAGATTTGTCACCCAGGTTCCTCCCCACTCCCTAGTCAAAAACCAGTAAGAGATTCACCATAAAACTAGAGTAATTCAGAGCAACTCTTAACTTACTTGTAACTAGGTAGCTTCCCCTTGGTTTCTCGTACATAGGAAAGGTAACATTTCCATAAATCAATGTGTAAAACCTTCATAAGGCATCGCTGAAATAACTGTTTAATACATCAAGAAGACGTGATCAGGATTCCAGACACAGAAATTGGGTTTCTACTTTTAAAGCTATACAGTATCAATTAAAATACTCTTTGTAATTATGATTGAGATTTGTAAGAAAGAATAAGTTAAACTACTCATCCTTTTGACTAAAACACTTCTGTGCTATGCAAAGGAATTGGAGAGATTTAAACAGAGAAATTCCTCTGCGCACTTCACTCATCACAGTTTGGTAGCAACAACAAATTGACTTTAGTGATACTTCTTATCTTTTTGAATAATGCATTCAAACAACAGCTATGGTTCTTTTTAATCTGCTTTAGCCTAATCAGAAGATACTTGTTCTGGGTATAGAGATATATTGATAGGACTCACCTTTTCCACTTTGTCATAATTTTTTGCTTTAATCTATAGGGAAGCAGAAAAAAACAAATCACTTAAGAATATACTCCTACTATTCTAAAATTGTTTTTTCATACAGCACTATAGCATTCCAGTTTGTACTCTGGCTGCCTAAACTAATTACATTGTAACACCACATAATGCTGAAAAAATGTAATTAAGCATACAAAAATCATGTACTTTGCTTAGGTTTTTCCAAATCAGCGTTTATTTTTTTTTTATTTATCCTTCACTTCCACTAGGGCCAAAATTTAGGTATCCGTAGGCAAAGCTGCTTTTCTGTATTCTGGCTTGGACACACAGACTTAGCCTCTTATTTCAAGATACTCTGTTGTTTAAGTGCATATATTGATCCACTCAGGTACCAAAGCCTCTAGATCAGGATTTAGAGGATTAAGGGTAAAATACCATATTTACAAAACTAATAGGGTAATAATATGACATTTGAACATTTATTTCTCAAAGTACACGTTGCTATAATAAGCCGATGCCGACTAAAGGAATAATAAACCATGCAGAACCTGTTTTTTTTTAACAGGAGCTCCCAGCCCTGGTGCTCCCTTCCAGGAGGCACCCAACCACGCGCACATCTCGGCACTCGTTTCACTCAGACAGCACGCACACTGCAAGGGTAGAGGGTGAGCTTAAGTCTTGAAGTGACAGGCTGCAGACAGGGCAAAGAAAAGCACGGGGACAGATGCAGAGGGCAGACTGGCACCCTTCATGTATTTATTAGCTCTGGTTACATTAACATACTGGGCAACCTGTAGAGACATACCCTGAAGAAACAAAGAAAATGGACAAGGCTTTAGAAGATGCTTATCTGTGTTAAAATACAGAGCCTTTAGTGAAATAAGGATTTGTTCTGCTGGGTTGCATTTTCTTAAAGCATCAAAACTCCATTTTAAAGCTCATTGCTCTCTGTTTACTTAGGGGATTCACAGCTTTTATTTTGGTGTGCGACACAAGAGCAGCTCTGAAAGCCTTTTCCCCACGGAGCACGGCAGTAGGCAGCATACAGCAACCTTTAGCACCAGGTAGTAATCGTAGCAGCTTTATATCATTCTAAAGCACGAGAGAATTTTTAGCAAAAGCATTAGGAAACACCAACTCATCTGCAGGAGGCCTACAATAAACGTGTCCTGTACTACACCACGCTCTGCCTTTCCCATCCGCTGTTCCCTGAGTTTCTATGCTCCTGCAACACCCCAGCCTCCACGAGCCCTAACAGAGCATCCCCATTTCTCACTCCTGGACAAGATCATTTAAAAATGAGAGAATTCAAACAAGTGTTGCAGAAAAAAAACTTTAATAGCACACACAGACCAGACCCTTGTGTCTGTACCACTTTGGAACTGGAGCGGTATCCTGCCCAGGTTGAAAGGATTTCACAAAATCCAGGTTTGCAGAAAGTTAAGCCTAATCATGTCTTGCACATAAAATTTTCACACAGTCTTCCCACAAACTGTTCAGTCAAAAGATAGTTGACCGGAGAATAACTGATTGCAGAAACAACAAATGCTCTGAAATAATACTTCACTAAAATCAGGGATCGGCATGTCCACGCTACGGAGAAATCGTGTCACTGCTAAGCCCTGCAGTAAGACACACTGACCCAACACACCCTCAGGTACACGTACAGATCCGACTGACGCCTTCTCACAGCTTTTTGTGAGTACAGCACAATCTTTCAACCTTTAAAAAGCACTTGGAATAACTGTAGGGTTGTTCAGACAGAATTCTTCTGTGGACGCAAGTTAAGAAGTCTGACGCTTCCCTATCTCTACCTGAAGGAAAGTAAATTCTTATATTTTAAGTTTCTCCTGCTTTGTAGAGTCCAAAAAAAGCTATCTCAAATTTTTACTTCACCCTTTTTTAAGAGTAACTTTTCAGGTTCCTCAGCACCTCTTAGATTATGATGAAAAGGATTTAACTCTCACTAAAGAGCCAGAGCTCTCAGTCTGTCTCCCACACCCTGCAAACTCTTTATCCTTGGCCACCGAGTGGAAAAGAACAAATGAATCTTGGTTTGTATGTCTAGTACAGAGCACAGCTGCCTGCACCTTTTTTTTTTTTTTTTCCCCCTTGCACTTACAAGTCAAGTCTACAATAAGATGAGCAGAAACTTTTTTTAAAGAGGTGACTCACCAGGAGATAGATTTTTTTTTTTTTTGGTGAAAATTGAATAATTATTTGCCACTGACAAAAGGCATCACCTTGTAGTTATTAAAGACCAAAAAAAAAAATTTAAAAGCTCAGAATAAAATCCTGTAAGCCAGCAGGGCAAAACTGAGTGTGCCTTCCGCATTTAGCCACGTAAAGGTGTTTTGCATGTCTGCCTTGAGTTATTATGCCAGAGACAATTCCTATACACAGCTGATAGGGCTGCGAGTGCTCTCTGCCTGCTTAGCCCATCTCCCTGCCCCTTGTCACCCCCAAGCTCAGTGACAACTATTACTCAGTAGAAGTGACCTAGGCTGACCTCAGTAGTTGTACAGTGTCAGGTAAGCGCACGGTCATCCTGCTGTTAGGCAGAGCAATGTAACTAGCACCTGGCAGCACTGTCACCGAGCAACTTCAAAAGGTGGAGCACAAGCAGTACTTATCAATTATGTATGCACTTCCAATAAGCAAAGACCTTGAAAAGAGAAAAAATTTGCTAAGAAAAAAAGCTATACTGTTTATTTGCATGTTGTAGGACTTGAACAAAATACCTTCTGCATGAATTATCAGATATATGAAAAAACTGCTGACCCCATCTGGATTTCAAGTCAGTGTCCTGTATTTATTAAATCCACACAAGTGGTTTGATACTGGTATCTGAAAATTCAGAAATCTCGGTGCCAATGAAGGACAGAGGTTGGAGATTGGCAGGATTTGTTAAAAATAAAGAAAATGCAATACTGGCTAACGCTTCCTGGGTCTCTGCCAGTGGAGTTTTTATGAAGCCCCCAGAGCCAGAGGGAAGGGCAGCTCTCTCTCCTGCAGGAATTTGTGTTTCTTGGCTCGCGGCTAGCAAGCAAGTGTCCTGGCAGTCCTGACCCCCAGGGCTGGGGAAAGCCCATCACCAGAGAGGGGACACACTGCCCCCAGGACCCACCATCACACATTTCTGTTACATTTCTTGGTTTTCCTATTACAGACACAGAGACTGACAGTGATTAGATGTGGACAAGCATTAAAGGATTGATAGTAATACTGTATTTTTGTCCTTAAAAGACAAACATAACGAAGTGAACTATAGATCTTTACAGCAGATTATCCTTCAGTTTCTAACACTGCCTGTATACCTGTTCTGATTGCTTTAACTCACAGGGGCTAAAACTCCACCAGAAATCCACCACCTACAGAATGAACTTAGGCATGCTGTCGTTCTAAGGTTAAATTGGTATATATGACTATCTCCTCTCCATCCTTGAAGACTATACAAAGGCCACCTAGTCTGACCAGCTACACCTAGACACTCCTGTAGGAAAACACATCTGATCTTGCCTTCCTCTGCCTGCAACAATGAGAAATCTCACCTGTTTTGCTGACAGAGTAACTTTAACTTTGATGCTCCAATAGGAAATCTGAGTCACGACTGTTATCAGCTTTGCACAAGATGAATATATAATAACAGGGTCAAATTTCTTCCCAGAGTGCACAACATGCTTCCCTATAACAAGCTGCAGAAACATTCAAGGGCAAAGTTTAATCCATAAATTACATTGCACTTCACTTTTTAATAGACTTATTAAAAGACATGTGTCATTTATGATTATGCAAAGCAAGTGATTTTATTCATCTATAGACTTAAGCCTACTTGGAGTTGTCTGACAACACACAACGCAAGCCTAAGAAGTGTCCTAGATTTATTTTAACCTTTTCAGTACTTCTTAGTTTCAGTCAGGCTCCTAAGGAAGCTAGGTTAGTGCTAAGGATCAGCACTGCTTTTTCTGCCATCTATTTCCATATCCTAACTCCATCTTCTTTTGCAATGGTTATTTTCCAAGGAAAGAAAATTATTTTCTCAAGCAAAAAAATCTAACGTGCCCTTATCCACTGCCTTGTCTCCCACTGGTGAGGTAGACCCCCTCTTGCCCTCTCCTCTACCCACTGTCCCCAAACTGTTCTGTGTTTTCTGGAACTTTTTTTGGAAAAGGGACCTGGAGAGAAATGCTATGTGCACTGCTGGCAAACTGCACCAGCTGATGAAAACACCACAGCAGCGCTGGCATTAACTTTCTGAGAATTTAGTTCGTCGTGGCTAGTACTTTTAAAACTATTTCCTAAAATCCAGTTTCATTATAAATACTACCCTGTCTCTATACTCATCCAGGGTTACATCACTGGCTACTAGATAATTAAGAAGTTAACATTTCAAATGTTAAACAAAATTCATCACAACTAAATCCATCTGTGTTAACCTTTTGCTTTTTAAATTTTTTTTTTTCCACATCTTGACTGTTAAGGTAAATAATCAATCACCCACTGTCAAGCCCAGTGGGATATAATTTGGGTCTCTACTAGTATAGAACTGAAGGTGTGAAAATATACATTCACATTTCTCTACCAGTTTCCAAAATATAAGCTAGGGCTGGTGGAGAGATGTTCGCACTTTATTTGCAGAGTAAGTACTGCTTGGATCACTGCAGTTCCAACTTTTCAGACTGCCTCAAAGAAAAGCAATCTTTCAAAGAACGGAGAGAGTGTAACACGCTAACTCACTTTTACCTTTAGCACATTCAGCCTTTTGCTATTTGCTGAGGCTTCCCGTCAGTGACTAATTTTGCGAGCCCTTAACATGACAAACTCATTTTCCTACAGGTCAAATAACAGCAATTATCTTTGCAAATAGCAAACCAAGCTCTGTTTAAGTACATAAAATGCAGGAGTAACATCGCTTTTGCATGTGGTCATTAACCCAAAGGAGGTTAGATTATAACTGCCTAGGTAAGTGGATGTAACACTTATGTATGCTGAACAAAGCACATATTTCTCCAAAATATTCCAAGGCTTAACCC